GGCCCGCGCATGCGCGTGAACATCGTTCTCTTAGCGTGCTTGATTTTTAACTTGAACGTTTCAAATTCGGTTAAAAAATCTTGCGCGCGACGAAGGTGGCGTTCACGTGCGTGCACGGACCAGGCGCTCCTTCTCCCGCGTACTTTAACTTTACTGCTGCTAGCGCGTTTGTTACATGAACTATTAATGTAAAACTTTCTGAAAATAAAAGTTTTATCCTTTCTTTAATTGTCTCTAAAATCCCGATCCGATACGTCCAATAGTTTAACAGTTACATAAAAAAATAAAATTATCTTGAGAACAAAGAGGCGTAGGTGATTTTTCTTTTTTTTTAAATTACCATAAAAATAAGCTCTATTTAACGCAAAAAGAACGAATTTCTGAGAGGCTTTTGCCTAATCCTGGGGTCAATTTGATTATAACGCTGTTTTTCACATCCTACTTTGTTAGTTATAAAGGGCAACTTAATCTCAACTCTTTGAAATTTTTATTTTTCGATACGTTTCTTTTGATCAAATAGAACCTATATCTACGATATTAACTTCTTAAAATTAACGTTTAATTAAACAATTAATTGCAAAAAAACGAACGAAGTTAATTAACAAATACCTGGAACAACAATTTCATTCACGGTCAATCGAATCACTATCTATTTTTGCAATAATAATGCTTAATTTTCGAAAACTTATTTTTCCGAGTTCGGCCTCTTTTTACAGTTAACAAATTAGTGAAATATGGTTTTAGATACCTTAACTAAATTATAGGTAATTTAATTGCCTACATGGCGCCAACATAAAATAACTATTTTTCCGATATGTCGTCTAGACATATAGGCAGTAAAAAAAGTGAAAAAACACGTAATTTTGCAACTTACTTATTTGCAATTTGTCAACTTAACGTCACTTCTTTCGAGTTAATTTTTTGATATTATCATACCCTTGTCCTCCATAAAATGCAATAAATAAATAGCTACTAATATTTTTTAGTAAATTTTCAGGTTTTGTGATCTAATTCCACTGGAGTAAAGAGTAATTATTTTAGCCTTTTCCTGATCGGTACAATGTATGTCTGTTTTGTGTTAATAACAGCAACAACAGACAATTTAAATTATAAAAAAAACTCAATCTTGACAGAAACACGCGTAATAGACAAATACGTAGGTATTGTCTAATGGCTAATAAATGGTAGTAGCATTTAAAACGCATGCGTGAATTTCAGTTGTTCCCGCAGATGCTTCGCCCGATTTTTTTGCTATTGCTCGTAAAAA